CAGCGTCAGGGAGAGTGTGTGTTGTGTGTGTGAGGTAAGTCAGAGAGGGGCACCCTCAGGGATAGGACACAGGAAAACAGGGACATGTCGGGAGCATATGGGATGTGCCCCCCAGAAGAAGGGAGTGACACTTGGGGCCAGTAAAGAGAGATGGAACCTCACGTACAAAAAATTTCTCGGGGTAATCGCGGAGATTCAGCAGACTCTTCAGGACTGTGTTGCGGTCCTCCTCCCACTTGCGCTTGCAGAAGACCATCTCCAGGAAGTACCACATCCAGCCAATAATGGGGACATAGGCCAGCTCTTTCTTGGCCAGAACTTTAGAGGCCTGAAAAAGAGGGAGGACCACAGGAGTCAAGCCCGGGGTTGATGGCTTGTCCCTTTGACTATTACAGAATCTAACTAGAATCAGAAGAGCACTCGCTCCAAAGGCTAAGGAGACATTTCCTGTGAATGTGACTCTCTTTGGGGGGAAATGTCAGATAGGGTGGGACCTAGTCCTAATCCCTTCTGAGACAGGGAGGATGTCAGATGAAGACTCATCTATATGTCCCAAAGGAGTTGCAAGGAATGCTGGGAAGCACTGGAAGCTGGCACACCGGCGTGAAGCAGTTCCTCTCTCAGAACCCTCGGAGGGGTTGACATGCTCAACACCCACTCACACTGAGACATTGCTTCTGCTCATTAAAGCCACCGCTTTGTGGTATTTTGTTACGGCAACTCTGGGAAGCCAAGGCAAGCCTGACCAGAAACATATGCACGAGCCTGGACAAAGACCCATCACCCGAAGTTGAACCTCTAGACAAGATGCTGAGGTGACATGTTGCTGGGTTTGGGGGCTTGCCATGCAGCGATCAATAGACAACGAATACGAGTACATATAGCTTCTTGAAGGGCCGCCCACCCCCGGCAGAAAACTATGGATGCCAACAGCTACCGTGCAGGGCGTGTTTATCACGGACCTGGCACAGTTCTGAGGCTTCTTGGCAAACAAGATCTTGTGCAACCTTCTGGGGTTGTTGGAAACTGGCAGACAGATTTCACTGAGGCAACAGAGAGGTGAACAGGGACCACAAGCTTCAGAAACGTTGGCCCTTGGATTTTATGCTCAATCCCTTCAGCACTTAGCGGCCCACCCCACAGAGAAAGGGAAAGGGCACGGGTCAAGCTTCCGAAGCCAGCCTCAGGGGATACTGGTCTGAGTCAAGAACCACCTCCAAGGACAAGAGCATCCTGGGAAAGACCAAAGGCACAGCCTCCAGCCACTGGACCTGGGAGTTCAACAAGATAGAAAGTCTCTTTTCTTTTTCTTTTTAAATTCCCACCACTTCTCCCTTCCCAATCCCTAGCAAAAAGGAACCAAAATAATATTTCATAATCCCACTCTGAAGAATTTCTGCAAATTCCATTTTTTCCAATTTAGATTCATTTCCTCTTGTGCTGTTCTTCTTCTATGTGAGGATGAAAAGTACCTGGTCAGGAATCTTCCTTTATTCTCTTCTTTCATAAAACCAAAGGAGCCGTGGCGGTGGACTGCTAACCACAAGGTTACTAGTTGAAACTCACCAGCTGCTTTGTGGGAGAAAGCTGGGATTCACTACTCCCTCAAAGATTTACAGTCTCGGAAACCCTAGACAGGAGTCAGAATCTACTCGATGGGATCTAAAAGCAAAATACTCAGACTTTGAGGCTCTCAACAGCATGCAATTTAAAAAGAGAGAGAGAGAAATTGATACAGGGTGTGTGAGTGTATTTGGAGGCAACTTAAGACCAAAACCACCAGTGAACAATGATTAGAATAGGAAGCCAATTCTCCGATTCCCAGCCCCCAGGTTACAAACATTCCCATTACAGGAACTCCTACCTGCCCTTTGTGGTGATTGTTGTTAGGTACCAGCAAGGTGGTTCTGGCTCATAGCTTTTACTCCACTTAGCATAAAACTTCAAAATTAAAGATACCTTTGTTTTCAAAAGGGAAGAAAAGAGACATCTAAGAGGGGGAAGAAAGAATATGACTGGGTTTGTGTAGAATTACTTGGCAGTGGGGGTGTTATTAGGTAATATTGAGTCAGTTCTGACCCATAGCAACCCTAAGTACAACAGAACGGACCACCGCCCAGTCCTGCAGCATCCCACCATCGTTGTCATGTAGAGTCCATTGTTCTTCCCCGAGGACTGGTCTCTCCTGATAATAGGCCCAAAGCGTGGGAGACAATGTCTCACCACCCTGACTTCTGAGGAACATTCTGGCTGTACTTCTTCCAAGACAGATTTGTTTGTTCTTCTGGCACTTTAATATTACGTAAATTTGCCCTCACTTTGAAACCAGTGAACCAACCCCTGCTCACAACAAATTCCTCATCACAACCACCTTCACCAGCTGCACCTGAAGCTTTCAAATCATTGGGAAAAGGCTTCTTGTCTTTTCCTGCCCTAAAGTTTAGGGGTGGGGAACCTTTTGGATATTTATAACAGCATTCATGGGCCATACAAAGTTACCAACTTCAAAATTCACCTGCTATACTTTTTTTGTGTGTAATAAATGTTTTATTGTGAATTGTGTGTTTACACACATGGGAGAACATTAGTTTTACATTCATTCTATCATCTATTGTTTCATTGGCATAGTTACCATCCCGTCCATGCATCCTCACCCAACCAAAGGGTGTACCCTGTAAGCCTGCATCCCCCCCTCCCCCCCCCACAGTCCTCAGCCCCTTTCCCTTTCCAGATCCCAAGTCCCCAGCCACTGCATCTCTTGACGTCGTCTTCTCTGCCCTCATCTCAGGCCTCATTGCTTCTCTGGGTAGGATCCCGCTCTCCGCTTTTCTCCATTGATGGTCCTAGGGTCCTCTGCTCCTAGACTGAAAAATTAATCACTCCCCTCCTTGCTACGAAATGTCCACCTTTAGATTTCCAACCCTGACAATCAGTCCTGATAACAATTACTCACTATTGCATCACAAGAGACCCATCTGTATTTCATTTCATCAGCCCTTCCTGGACAGGCTGGACACTATTCACTGGAGACTCTACCTTCCTCCATGCCCTTTGGATCTACTGCTATACTATTTAATTCCCACTTTTCCCTTCTTGTGCAACCTTCTGGGGTTGTTGGAAACTGGCAGATACATTTCACTGAGGCAACAGAGGTGAACAGGGACCACAAAAGCTTCAGAAACCTTAGTAGGATCAGATGATTTCCTCACAGGCCTCTTAAAGCCCAAGGACCAACGTTCCCCACCCCTGCCCTAAAGGATGGCTGAATAAGAACTGTATGTACCTGTTCCAAGTTACCTCCCCTTCCACTTAAAGCCAGGAACAGAGCTGGTTTGTAACCTGCAGAACTCATAGGCCCAAATCCGGAAATGAGCTGATGACTGTAGGAAGAGGCCAGGGATCTCTTGACATCAAGTGGACTGGCTCTATCCAGGTGACAGGACGGTTCCCCGGCTACGTGTGGAGGGCATTCCCCGGAGGACACCACTTGGTCACTTCCATCAGAGTTGGCCTTCCTGCCCTAGCCCTCCCCTGAGCTACTGCTCTCTGGCAGCTCTTTGCTTCCTTAGAACGAGTAGAGCGAGCAACAGCTCTGGGTGTGTCTGCAGAGTGTGGACAAACCCTCACCCCCTTCACCCTCCCACAGGAAGCCATTTATTTAGCAAGAATCAGGAAACCCAGGGCCCAGCTCAGCAGGGCTCCCAAAGTCTCAGTGAGGGTGAGACACCCCTCCCCCCACACTTTATCTCTAGGCATGTCCTCCAAAATAAATAGGAAAGCTCACACCTCATTATACTCAACATTCATTGAAAAAAAATATATACTCTTAGAGCTCCTATATATCTGCTCCCATAAAGATTTACAGCCTCAGAAACCCTATACAGGGTCGCTATGAGTCAGAACCGACTCCACGGCACAGAACAACAACAGCAACATTTATTAAAGAAATTAAGGTTGGAAATGAAACATCACTAGGCCAACAGCCCGTCTGCGGAGTAACCATCAGTCACCGCACATTTGAATAAAGAGTCCTGGTGTGGTGCTGTAGGATAAAAACTGGACTGGCAAAGTTGGCAGTTCCAATCTACCAGCTGCTTCTCAGAAACCCTACAAACGGTTACTATGAGTTGGAATTAATTCAATGGCACTTAACAATAACAGTCCCGTTGGGTTCACAATTGTACAATGACCACAGACTCCAAAGGCTTTAGTAGTAAAATCCCAAATCGTCCTCTGTGCATGCGTCCCTCCCTACCCCTCCTCTCTGTCTCTGTCTTCCCCTCCACATATTGCTGCCCTCCATATTTATTGCCAGGGCCCATCCTTCCACATCCCTCTGTGTCTGTCTCCTTCTAGTATCAGGTTCAGGGCAGCCTGAGGGCGTCTCCAAGCTCCTCTGCTTGGCTAGTTTCTTCCTGCTCCATCCCTGGTCAGAACCAGGCTGTGAGAGTGAGCACTGCAGACTGTGAAGGCAATTGGAAGTCTGTCCCCTGCCTCGTGTCCTGATGTCTGATAGATCAGGCCATCTCTGAAGCAGGTTACTCTGAAACTTTCCTCCCAAAGCCTTCCAAGGGGCAAGAGCTGAGACTTGGAAATCAGACTTACTAAGAACTGACCTTGGACAAATTATTTAACTAGATTGGATTTCTGGAGTTGACTTATAAAATGCAGATACCTGTATCAGGAGGGTTTGGTGGTGGTGATGGTGATGTGCTGTGGAGTTGGTCTGACTCATAGCGACCCTGTATACAGTTTCCGAGGCTACAGATCTTTACGGGAGTAGAAAGCCTCATCTTTCTCCCATGGAACAGCTGGTAGTTTTGAATAGCAGCCCGACTGGTAACCACTACGCTACCAGAGCTCCTTACCATAACTCAGGTAGTGGCATGGAAGAAGCACGTAGAGAGAGTGCTTGACAGAACTGCTCATAGTCAGAGCTACCAAGGACTCAAATGGAATTTAACATGACTCTAAATCTAGCCGATTTTCTGGTTTGCCTCAGGGACTCGTGCTCCACAAATTACAAACCTTCTCACATTGTAAGCATGAGCGCTTCTCCAATAACCACTTGGAACAGTCTGGAAAAACCACCAGCTGCCTCTAAACTGCACGTTGAGTACCAACCAGTGTTCCCGGAGAAGCTTGTATGTTGGAAAAGTCTAGACCTAAGATGGTAAAGGAGTCCTGGTGTGTCAACATAGATAAGCACTGGCCAGAAGGTCAGTTTGAACCACAAGTCCGTGGTTCAAAACTTACCAGTTGCTCCTTGGAAACCCTATGCAGGGTTGCTGTGTGTCAGAACTGAGTCAGAGCCAACTCAACGGCACTTAGAAACAACAAGATGGTAAGGTAGGCCAATGAATAAGGAAGATGGAAGAAGATTGATACATCTGAAACTATAGTGTGAGTAAAGAATGTTGAACGTACCATGGACCAATAAATCTATGTTGGAAGAAGTCAGCCAGAATGCTTCTTGGAAGCCACAATGGTAAGACTTTGTTTTATGGATGTACTTTGGACATGTTATCAAGAGGGACCAGTCCATGGAAAAGGACATCCTACTTAGACTGTAGAGGGTCACTGAAAAAGAGGAAGACCCCCAGTGAGACTGATCAACATAGGAGCTGCAACAAAAGGCTTGGTTGTGAAGATGGTTTGGGACCAGGCAGTATTTTGTTCTACTGTACACTGGGTTGGTATCAGTCAGAACTGACTTGGCAGTGTCTAACAACAACAACAAGGTGACGAAGCCAATGCTGTCATGGTCAAGATGAAAAGGCACCATATACCCTTCCCTCCTCGAACAGAAGACTATTCCTGTCACTAGTCACTGGTGTCCATGACGGAACTAGGATTAAGCTATCTAAGGAGGCTTCTTCTCTCAGAGACTAAAGCCAGCTGAGACTCCTGCCCTGGCTCTCTAAAACGAGGAAAGGTAGACACCACACTTTGCTTTTCTTCCTGGAAATGCATTTGCGTGCACCCACACACGGATATCAATTAGCCCCAGAGGCGTAAGAGGGAATTGTTGTTGTTAAGTGCCGTTGAGTCGTTTCTGACCCATAACAACCCTGTATAGGGTTTCCAAGGAGCAGCTGGTGAGCTGGAACCATTGACCTTGTGGATCGAAGTGACTTTGCAGGAGGTAGAAGGCCTGTTGTTTCCCTAGGACCCTCTCAGTACATTTACATGCACTCAGTACAGTTTTCTAGACGTCTTAAAGCAGCAACAGTGATCTCATTCACAGTTTCTGGGAAAACTGATAAAAGACCCGAGTTGCCTTTTGGTTTGTTCCATTGCCTGATGACCACCACCATTACTCTACTGACATCAGCAGATGCGTCTCCGAGCACAGCGGTGTCCATGACTCGGGGTAAGGGATTTTGAGGCAACTTCTCCTCTCTGAGAATAAATATTAAAAGCTTTACAAAAGCGGACTGCCACGTCTTTCTCCCTCAGAGCGGCAGGTAGGTTCGAACTTTTAGTTAGCAGCCCAAACCTTAGCCCTCTGCGCCACCAGAGCTCATTGTTATTGCTCTAAAGAGGATGTGAATCCCAATGCCAAGGAAGAGTGAACCATAGATGGTTAGAGACTTACTCGATGCATCTACTGATTCTGAAGGAAGGACGGGTAGGCCAGTTCCTGGTCCTAAACCAGAGAAAGGTAAAATGGAATCAACTTACCGCTAAGATCCCAAATCTTTCCGCCAAGGTCCAACCACAGAGAAAGTCAATTTCAAACTTGTGATTTAGAACAACAATGGCACTCTCCTTCCCGTACTTGGGGTAGTTTCGGGGGTCTGTGTAGAGTGTACACTCTGTCCCTGACCACCACTCCAGCAGCATCACCAACTCTGGAACAAACCACAAGAAGAAACATATGTTTAGTCTGAGCCCTCGGGATGGCCGAGCCAGTCCTGGGAGCAACTCCAAGGGAGAGGGGGCCCTCAGTCCTCTGGGCTCTGGTACCTGGACCCCACTGCCTGGAGGGGTTTCAAAGCAGAAGGAAAACCAGGAGGCATTCCGTCACCGTCTCCAGATTTGAGGAGGAAGTGTGGAGAAAGCCAATGGCTTGCATTCCTTGATTAAAAATCTTGGGGGAATAAATCAAGAAAGCTGGATCAATGAAGAACAAGGGTCCTTGTGTTTACAGAGCTGCGAACAGCAGTGAGAGATATTGAACAGAATTCTTAAAGCCCTGCAACATGACCAACTGGAAACTTAGGAAGCCCATCAGAACACTAAAGGCCCAATTTTTCTTTTCCATCTGCTACCCCTGAGTGCCCCAGGAACAACACAATGCCTGCAGTCAGGTAGCGGAAGTGCCAGTATCCGAAGGCAGGACACATCTTTGTCCTTGTCCCAAATCCAGACACGAGAATGTGGGTTCAAGGCCTATAAAAATATCCAGGTGCCTCCTTCTGAGCACAATGACCAATTTGAGGTTGGTCTTCAGTCCATCTCTAATCCTGAACTACTGGGGATGCAGGAAGGGAAGAGTTGATGGTTGGTGATTAAAGCTTCAGTCGCAGCTCTGAAATGAGCTTTTGAAATCAGCTCTGAAATTCCTTTTCCAGCTGTTTGTTTAATTCGAGGGTGGAAGGTGAGCTCTTCAATTTACAGCACATCAAAACAGCCGGTTTAGTAACCTCAGGAGACTCAAATCAGTTCCTTTTTCAATGCTCTTTGAGATCAAGCAACAAAAAAATGTCTGAAGGAGTAAGATCAGGCCTGTAGGGTGGGTGGACTAAGGTGCCCCGGAGAAATTCTCATAGGACAGTGCTTGCTACCCTCAAAGAATGAGCACTGCATTGACATGTCAGGAAACATTCCTTTGCACAACTTTCCTGGTCCTTTTCTCAACAAAGCACTTTTAAATTCTCTAAAACTTCTTCATAACAAGCCCCTATGATCAACTTTTGTCCTTTGAGAAAAATCTGCCAAGATTACCCTTTGGAAATCCCAAAACCTAGTCACCATAACCTTGTGAGCTGACCTTTGTGCCTTGAATTTAACTGGCCCAGCAGATTCCCTATGAAGCCACTGTTTCGATTGGACCTTTTTTGAGTCCTGGTGTGGCACTGTAGGATCAGCACTGGACTGTGAGTCACAGGGTCGGTGGTTCAGGCCCACCAGCTGCTCCTTGGAAAGCCTGTACAGGGTTCGCTATGGATCAGAAATGACTTGACAGCACTTAACAGCAACAACATTGAATTCTGGGATTCCTGGTGTGGTGTTGTAAGATCAGCACTGGACTGTGAACCACAGGTCAACAGTTCAAACCCACCAGCTGCTCCTCTGAAACCCTATGCAGGGTCACTATGAGTCAGAACCGATATAATAATTAATAATAATAATAATAACAAGGAGAATAGACAAGTATGTTACTGATTGCAGAGGCATGTTCAATCATGTTGTGTTTGAAATAAATCTGCATATGTATGAACCGGGAGTCGTGGTGGACCAGGCTAATGCGTCAGACTGCAAAGTCATTTGAACTGCAAGGTCAGTGGTTCAAGATCACCAGCTGCTCCTTAGAAACCCTATACAGGGTCACTATGGGTCGGAATCGACTCGACGGCACTTCACAACAACATGTATGAACGGGATTTCTAGTAGCAAAATGCTTTGATTGACTCTTGTAAACACCTTAAATAATGAGAGTCAATAACTCTCCGATATTTGAAGTAGAGATGCCATTGCAAAGTATCTGCAAAAGCTGTATGTGATGCAACAATATCTGAGTTTTTCTTTTAATGATAAAGTCACAAATATTGCTACTTTTACTATGGAGCTCTGGTAGCGTAGTGGTTACGAATCGGGCTGCGAACCTTAAGGTCAGCAGTTCGAAACTACCAGCTGCTCCGTGGGAGAAAGATGAGGCTTTCTACTCCCGTAAAGATTTACACCCTTGGAAACCCTGTACAGGGTCGCTATGGGTCGGAACCGACTCTATGGCACTTAACAACAACAACAACAACAACTATGGTTTACAAACTATTCAGAATTGAAGAAAAGGCTGAATTTCAGTTAAACCTTAATAGAAATAAAGATGTAACTTTTGCAATACAAGTTCACCAATTCTCTGAATTCTATCCATGGATCCCTTTGAGGTCTGTGAACCCCAAACAAAGAATCATTAACTAAACAAGTAAAGTAATAAAGTGTTTAAGAAAAAAAAAGAAAGTGAAAGATGAATTCTGAAAGGAAACTTGGAAAGGAAGGTTTAGAGCTGCTGGAGTCTGGCAGATGGACAGGTGAGCAAGTCACCTCCACAAATGTCACGGCGCTTCCTTATTACTGGGTAGTAACTGAAGTCTCGGTCCCACCACATGGTGAGCAGGGGCCTTGACAACCCACCCCAAGCTTCATGTATGGCTCCCCTAGGAGGCTGGAGACTCTCACCGCCGCAGGACCCTCCTGAAGGTGCCGTGGTGTTGTATCTAAGCAGTAAGCACAGTGTGACCATGGACAAGTGAACCTCGTGGGACCTCTCAGTACCCTCATCCTCGGACTACAAACTGCAAGGTCAGCAGTTCGAAACTAGCTGTCGCTTCGAGGGAGAAAGATGAGGCTTTCTGTTCCCATAAAGATTTACAGCCTTGGAAACCCTGTACAGGGTCGCTATGAGTTGGAACTGACTCCATGGCACATAACCACCACCACCAGTGGACCTTGTGAGAACTTGAGTAGAGACCACATGGTTGTTGTTAGTTGTCACCAGGGTGGCGCTGACTCATGGAGGCCCTATGATTATAGAACAAAACCTGGGGTCTTTATAACCACTGAGTATTTCCAGCCTAGGGGCTCACCTTCCAGTGCTGTACCGGGTACTACCAAGGGGCTCCAAAAAGTTCGTGGAACTGCGAGATAATAAGAGTTTCTCCAGGAGTTTTTTAAAGATCCCTAATGATCCATGGAGCTTTTCCTTGGCTGATTTTTACAAGTAGATTCCCAGGCCTTTCTTCCTAGTCTGTCTTAGTCTGGACACACCACGGGAACCTGTCCCACCACGGGTGACCCTGTTGTTGTTGTTGTTAGGTGCCATTGAGTCAGTACCAACCCATAGTGACCTTATGCACAGCAGAACGAGACACTGCCCGATACTGGGCCAAACTCACTACCGTTGCCATGCATGAGTCCATCAATGCTGCCACTTGGCCAATCCATCTTGTTGGGGGTCTTCCTTTTTTTTTTCCCCCCTCTTTTTCTACTGGTATTTAAAATACCAGTGACACCACAGCAACACAAAAGCCACTACAGAAGGCACACTGACAGGGAGTAGGCACTGTAATCCACAATCGATGCGAGCTAACAGGATCTATGGAGTCCTGGTGCATGGCACTGCAGAATAATGCACTGGACCGCAAGGTTGGTTTGAACCGCAAAGCTGGTGCTCCTTGGAAACCCTATATGAGGTCGTGATGAGTCGGAATTGACTCGATGGCACTTAACAGCAAAAACAACAGTATTTATCAGTGTTTTGTGAGAAACAAACAAATCCCACCCCGATTTTTCCAGAAGGGAAAAACAGAATCTGTCTGCCTGTTTCTATACCAGCCTCCACTCAGCGGTGGGAGCTAGCAGGGACAAGGCAGGAGACAAAGGGAAGTGCTAGGAGGTTCAGGGAGGGCAGAGCTGCCACCACCACAGGGTGACGGTTGCTGAAGAGATGCTTGACAAAGGTAGAATAAAGATTGATTCTTAAGATACCAAGCTGTCTCCATTCCATTTCATTTTTGATGACTTGTAATAGGAAGACGTGCAGCAAGAGTGCTCCTTGGAGACCAGGATGGCCAAAGTTCATCTCTCATACTTTGCACATAATGTCAGGAGGGACCAATCGCTGGAGAAAGATATCATGTTTGGTAAGGTGGAGGGTCAGAGAAAGTGAGGAAGACTGGTCAAGTGGCAGCATAGATGGACTCAAGCGTGGCAATGATAGTGAGGTTGGCCCAGGATAGGGCAGTGTTTCGTCCTGCTGTGCACAGGGTCGCTATGAGTCGGTACTGACTTGATGGTACCTAACAACAACAACAACAACAATGTCCTACATTCACTGCAGCCTGGGTCAGGGAGAAGAAGGGAAACGCTTTCTAGAAGGGTTCATATTTCCTTCTATGAAGCAGGTGGATAACTCAGGGCTTCCGGGATAAAGTCAGGTGCCGGTCCATGTTGCCACACTGGTTGGTGTCCTGTGCAAATCCGGGGACCCCTAGAGAGGCGACTCCCTGCCCCAAATTCGATGGTGCCCCTGAACTCAGCGTACCACCTCACAGCGTGAGGTTTGCTGCCCCAAGTCCAGACGTCAGGCTCCAGGCAACACTCTACCGTCTGTTCCACCACCGCGTCTCTGTAGACCCGGTACATCCTGAAGAAACTGCGCTGGAAAAATGTCACAAGTTTCCTGGTGGGAAATCTTCGAAGGCTTTTAGGAGCTAAAACAGATGCACTTGGCTTGTGACCTCTCCTGTGTAATTTCTTGGCTACTTTCAATAGGTTATAAGAAAGGTAAACCATCTCTGAGCAGCAGATGTCCCAGTCGACTCCTGACAGAGCAGGAAGAACAGCCAACGAGTCTATACTCCCTTCCGTGGAGTCTGGAAGGTGATCTGCCAGGAGTGGGAGGGGCCAGGGGAAGGCATACTTAGATTTGAGGGCAGTGACATTCCAATTCAGGCAATACAGTGTGTGTGTGTGTGTGTGTGTGTGTGCACATGTGTGGAAGCCTCTGTGTGTGTGTGTATACAGGTGTGTGACTGTGTGGGTATATGGGTGTGTGTGTATATGGATGTGTGTCTGGGTGTGTGTATATGGATGTGGAGGTGTTTACAGACATAGGTAGGTGTGTGGT